TTCAGCTGTCGCCTTCCTTGTGTCAAGCCACTCTTGAACAAGCGACAGCATCAGAAGCGTCTCACCTGGGCTAAAGACAAGGACTGGACTGCTGCTGAATGGTCCAAAGTTATGTTCTCTGATGAAAGTAAATTTTGCATTTATTTTAGAAATCAAAGTCCCAGAGTCTGGAGGAAGAGAGGAGAGGCACAGAATTAATGTTGCTTGAGGTCCAATGTCAAGTTTCCACAGTCAGTGATGGTTTGGGGTGCCATGTCATCTGTTGGTGTTAGTCTACTGTGTTTTCTGAGGTCAATGCAGCCTTCTACCAGGAAGTTTTAGAGCACTTTATTATTCCTGCTGCTGACCACCTTTATGGAGATGCAGATTTCATTTTCCAACTGGACTTGGCACCTGCACACAGTGCCAAAGCTACCAGTACCTGGTTTAAGGACCATGGTATCCCTGTTCTTAATTGGCTAGAAAATTTGCCTGACCTTAACCCCATAGAAAATCTATGGAGTATTGTGAAGAGGAAGATGTGATACGCCAGACCCAAAAATTCAGAAAAGCTGAAGGCCACCATCAGAGCAACCTGGGCTCTCCTAACACCTGAGCAGTGCCACAGACTCAATGACTCCATGCCATGCCACATTGCTGCAGTAATCCAGGCAAAAGGCACTCCAACTAAGTAATGAGTGCTGTACATGCTCATACTTTTCATGTTCACACTTTTTAGTTGGCTAACATTTCTAAAAATCCTTTTTTTATTGGTCTTAAGTAATATTCTAATTTTCTGAGATACTGAATTTGGGTGTTTTGTTAGTTGCTTGGTTTTCATTACTTTTACCTTGCCATAGTGTGCACATTTTCTGAGCTGTCTCCTCCTGTTGAAGGGGATGATCAAAGACACAGGAAATCCCATAGAAAGGTAGAAAAAGTTATTGATTCGATGAGTCATTTATCGAGGTAAGCATATGCCTATCGGAGAGCTTCTCCTTTGCGAGAGCTAATGATAAAAATAATGTGGGAAGAATCAGAGGAGTAAGTTAGTGGGGTAAGCAAAGATTACAATCAAGAATAAATCTGTCACATTGACTGGCATTACCCTCAAAATATTTGGATGGTCGGTCGTATGTCCGGTTCTCATAGAGCCATGACACTCATTTTGATAACTGGAGTAAGTTCAGGCTGACGAGGTGATAGATGTGTCTTGGACATGGGTAGGAAGGCCAAAAATTTTTGTTTAGTAGAAAAAAATCATGCTTCCGAGTTCCTGGAGGCTACTTTGAGCAGATTATTGCTGTGAGAGAATTCACTGTAAAGTGAGGTCATGGCAATAATTGTGTTTATTCTGTGCTTGGAGAAGATGTTGGATCTGTCCCTCCTCAGTCTTGCTTAGAGGGTCAGGTTGGCTGGGACATTCTAACATGATTTTAGATAATATTGACCCCAAGTTAGCAGACTGAGAAAGAGGCAGAGCCAGGCATACAAAAGGTAAGTGTACAAATGTGATGTTCAGGGATGGAAGGGAAAAAAGTCTAGTCACATCAACTTTATTTATAAAAAACATTTAAAATAGCAGCTGTTACCAAAGTACAAAAGGACAGGGTGAGTATTCTTGTAATTCTTCAGGTTTAGAAGAATGATGTATTTTGTTTTGGATATATTCTTTTCTTACTGGTGTTTGCAGATGGAGCCAGAGAGGAGGAAGAGACAATGTCCTAGGTTTCCACAGGAGAGTAGGTGACCCAGAGGAGGTGAGTATTGTTGGAGAGAGCAGGTGGTTGGTATCAAAGGCACAGTTGTATCCTGGTTTAGATCCTATACCTGACTGACAGGAGTTTTTCTGTTCATTTAGGGAAATGTTCTTCATCTCCAGCTCTTCTGATCTGTGGGGTCCCTCGAGGGTCTATTTTAGGTCCATTGCTTTTTAATCTTTACATGTTGCCTTTGCGGTCCATTTTTAGAAAACACAACATCCCTTTTCACTGCTTTGCTGATGATACTCAGTTATATCTTCCGATTGAATCAGACAGGGTCACTTCACTGGATCCACTCTTGAACTGTCTAAATGATGTTAAAGTCTGGTTAAAAACTAAATTTTCTGAATCTAAATGAAAATAAAACAGAAGTCATCAGCTTTGGTAAATGTCATACCCTTAATGTGCTTAGCCCCTTGGCTTCATACAGCCACTCCAATGTCAGGAATCTGGGAGTTATTTTTGATAGTGCTTTTAAATTAGACAAACAGATAAATACAGTTGTGAAATCCAGTTTCTTCCAGCTAAGACTCATTGCCAAGGTGAAGTCTTGTCTCCCTTTCAGAGACCTTGAAAAGGTGATTCACGCTTTTATTACATCTCGTTTGGACTACTGTAATTCATTGTATGTTGGTTTAGACAAATCATTTTTGCATTGTTTACAATCTGTCCAGAACGCAGCAGCTCGTCTTTCAACAGCAACTAAAAAACATGAACACATAACCCCTGTCCTGGCTTCTCTCCACTGGCTTCCTGTCCACTTCCGGATTGATTTTAAGATTTTATTGCTTGTTTTTAAAGTCTTAAAAGGTCTGGCCCCGTCATATTTATGTGATCTCATTAACATCTACACTCCAGTAAGAGCACTCTGGTCTACCAACCAGTTCCTCTTAGATGTCCCCAGATCCAAACTTAAATCCAGAGGTGATCGGGCTTTTGCGGTTGCTGCTACAAAACTGTGGAACAGTTAACCTGAGAATTTAAAGACCGCTCAGACTGTTGAGACTTTTAAATCTTTGCTCAAGACTCATCTGTATTCCTTGGCATTTCATCCACGCAGAGTCTGAGAACAAGTTGAGCTGATTTTATTGTTGTTGTGTGTTGTTTTTACTGTCAACTTATGTTTTTGAGTGGCACTAGATGCATTTTTACTCTTTTTTTTTATTTATAATCTGTCTTAACTGTAAAGCACTTTGGTCAGCTTTTGTTGTTTTTATGTGCTATATAAATAAATTGACATTGACATAGACATTGAGAGAAGATCATATCATTGTTGTTTGGAGGTTGCTGATCCAAGTTGATGTCTGGATGGTTAAAGGGACAAGTTGATGTCAGGGCAAAGTCACGAGGAAGGAAAAGGTCTTGGAAGACTCGAAGAGACAGGACTTGGAAGTCGCTGGATAAGAATAATAAAGTAAAATAAAAGTAAATAAAGTACAAACTTGTTGAGGAACTAGTTTACCAGCTGTCCATTATTTACCATTAGATATTTTGATGTCCCAACATTGGAAGAACATCTGGCAGGAGCTTTAATACTTTGCAGAGCAGTCCTCCAAATCAGGTGCAGGTGTAGAGTCATGGCTGATTGCAATGAGTGGCAGCTGTGGAGAGAGTGAGTGTGGCTGGAAACCTAGGAATCCCAAATCTTTAGATATTACAAGTTGGTTTTCTGTGAAGTTGGGCTTGATGACTCAGTGCCAAAGAGTGATCCATCCATCCATCCATCCATTATCTCTTTCCCGCTTCTTCCATTTTGGGTCACGGGGGTCACTGGTGCCCATGTCCAGCATTCACTGTGCGAGGGGCGGGGTACACCCTGGACGGGTCGCAAGTCCATCACACGGACACATAGAGACAAACGAGACAAACAACCATTCACTCTCTCAGTTACACCTAGGGACAATTTAGAGTTACCAATCAGTCTAACATGCATGTTTTTGGTCTGTGAGAGGAAACTGGAGTACCCGGAGAAAACCCACGCATGCACGGAGAGAACATGCAAACTCCACCCAGAAAGGCCCTCGGACCGGGATTTGATCCAGGGACCTGTTCGCTGAGAGGCAGCTGCTCTACCAGTTGTGCCACCGTGCTGCCGCCAAAGAGCTATAATAGCCAAAAAAAAAAAAAAACAGGACACCAGCTAAATCCAAACAAAATAAGAATGAAGGGAATTGGCAGAACAAACAAAGTATGACAGACTAATGAGGTGAATGAAAACTGGGAGCCTAACTTATCAGTCAGAGTCAGAGTCAGAGATTCTTTATTGTCATTTGCACCTCATGTGGTACATGTGGTGGAGCGAAATTATGTGCACAGGGTCCCAGTTACATTCAACAATAAAATGTACAAGAAAAACAACGATAGCTAAGATATGAACTAAGAAAAACATCAACTAAATATACACTAAGCACTAATAGCAAACTAGTGGGAGGGATGGGAAACAAGTGAATGCAGCTGGTCTGATAACCGTAGTACAGAGTGACAGATAGGTTATGAGGAGCAGAACGGATAAAAATTTTATGGAGTGAAAGAAAAGAAAAAATGAAAAGAAACAAGAGAATAAATAAAAGGTGCCCATATCCAGCCATCACTGCGCGAGAGGCAGGATACATCCTGGACAGGTCACAAGTCCATCACAGGATTATTACGTAAAATCAAGTTATAAATCCAATTCAGAAAGCTGTGTACCTGTCTGGTTAAATTTACACATTTAAAGTTAAAAATACTCCAATTTTTGGTGGAGCTGGGTGTGAGTGTAGGAGGCATCTGTTTTCCTTATTAGACCACACTGTTTTCACAAGATACAATCTCGACCCGAAGGAGGTAGAACAAAGGACACAATTTTGTGAAAAAAAAAAAAAAAAAAAATCAATAATATGCTATAAATGTATTGCAATTGGTTCAATTTGTGTGGTTATTGATCCAGGGAATGAATGTCCACCCAACTAACATTAATGCTCAGGAGCCACTATTGGGTTTAACCCTAATCAAATATTCCATTAACAAACAATGTGTAATTTAGAAAGAGGGAGAGAGAGAGAGAGAGGGAGAGAGAGAGAGAGAGAGAGAGAGAGAGAGAGATTCAAAGTTCCCCCACCCCTCTACGTCCCCCTCCCTCTGTGTCTCTGTGAGTCCATTCTCTAATATTCTCTCAGCAGAGGGAGAAAGACTTCAGAGCTCTCAGCTGGAACACCGATCTTTATTTTAGTGATTAGAACTCAGTCTTTTCTTCTGGGTCATTCCTTCTCCCGCTGCAGGATGAACACTGAATGCAGCAGTTACTACAACCCTGACGGAGTGTTTGTGGAGGCTTTCTCCTGCCCCAAGCCGGGTAATGCTCCTTTTGCAGCGTACTGCTGTGGCTTTAATGATGTGAAGTATTGCTGTGACGATCCCAACAGTTTTTTCCCCTATGAGTATGGGTACATGTGGTGGCTGAGGTAAGATCTTTTACTATTTTTGGTATGCGGATGATTTATTGTTTTCTACGGTTTGCTTGATGTGCATTTTAAATGTTAAAAAAAAAAAACATTTTGGCTTTAAATTTGTTCATCTTTACCAGTTCACTGAGTTAATGAGTTAATCAATTACGCTCCATGTGTTAAGTAAAACTGGCAAGTTATATTTTACCAGTTTTTTTTTTTGTATGTATATTTGACAGTTTATTTACAAAAAAGTAGATAGGTATTTAATAGAGAAAAATATCAAAGTCTTGAACTATTTGTAGAGTCAATCAGAAATGACTGCCACAAACCTTTTCACTCATTCTCATCAAAAAATGCTGCTTTTTGCAGGGACTGTGGTTTTTAAAAATTTTCATTGAATTTATCTTTGCACTACCAGAAATGTAGATGCACTTCCTTAAAGACTGATTTTCATTCTCTTTTTTCTTTCTTTCTGTCATTTTCTCTCACTCTTTCATTTATTTATTTATTTATTGCTGTTAATGGACTTTCATGCCTCTGTTCCACCTAATGTTCAGTAGTTTTCTTTTCTAATTGCTCATCCGATTTCCTCTTCATTTAGTATCGGTGCTCTGGTGGGTCTGTCATTTGCGGCAGTGGTCCTCCTCGCCTTCCTCATCACTGTATGTGTGCTCTGCTACCTCTTCATTGCCATCAAACCCAGTCGCCTTGACAACGGCCTACCCCTCAGAGCTCCAGGTCAGGATGTGTGTATGCAAGAAATACTCGTAATTATGTGCTTTTTATATTCACTGAAAGCCTTATATCAGGATAACCTTGACGATTTTGTTGTGTCACCAAAGTCTGTGATACCTTTTGTACCAGTTGTGGTGCCAGTGTGTTCTCAAGTCACAGTAATTGTGAAAACAATCAGCTTTTCACATCAGAGCTCTTACTTTTATTGTTTCAAAGGCAGTACACATTAAAAAAGAATCTGCAAAAATGTATTAAAAACAAAAACAATATTTGAATTACTTAAGTTTTGATCAACCATGTTTAATTTTGATATGACCGACAAGTTGTCAGTTCGCTGTCAATCAGATGTCAAAATCAAGCTTTTTTCAGTTCTGTCACTTAGCCAAGATAAAGCTCTTCTTCTGTTTTAAAGATTTTGGAAAACTAATTGATGCACTAATTAAAACATGCATAGAATTTTGCAATTCCTTGCACAAGGCGATAGATGATTCCTCTCTTCACCCTCTGCAGATGGTACAAAATGCTGCTGCTCAACTTTTGGAACAAAAACAAGTATGGACACAAATTCCAGTCATAAATATTTTTTATTTGTATATTAGTTTTGTAACCTTGTAAATAAGTTTGTGATTTGTGCATGCATAGACAGAAATTTGTATTTGCAAAAAAAATTACAAAAGTTACTATTGGTAATAATTTTTGCGAAGGTCTGTTTATAGATATGAAGCCAAAAAATACAGTATGTGTAACCTGTGAGATTGAATTTACAAGTATGAATTTTGACGGGATTTTTCTTCCTCTCAGCTGATTGGTCAGTGTCATGTCAAGTCAAGTCAACTTTATTTATAAAGAACATTTTAAACAGCAGCTTTAACCAAAGTGCTTAACAATAACCAACCAACTATATAAATATATGTATATATATATATATATATTTATTTATTTATATATATTTATTTATATACATATATATATACATATATATATATATA